AATGCCAAGTCTTTGTATAGATGCAGATGTGAACAAAACCAACTTCATCTGTGTCCTTTCATTTTTAAGTACCATACTGTGATATTTGACTAACCTCACTGTCCTTAGTGAGCATATTAAAGCTTTCTAAATGATAATTAAAATATAATTCAAATATCGCCATACATATTTTTGTTAGTAACAGCCAGAATAGCATGACAACTGAGACAAATATCAGACTGGTAGTACTACTGATTATAAGCAATCATCTATCACAAGACCACCAGGAAGTATGGCTCCTGGCGCTACCGCATTCTTTGTCCCTTTGTCTTGTTGATCGTTAGTACCTGAGTTATAAAGGTACTGTGACAGTTGTCTGTTAGTGGAGAATAATCTGTGTAACCGCTGAGTTGTCTTTTCTGCTCCAACCAATAAGTAAATTACCTTATAATAAATTCTGTTATACTCTACAGAGTTGCCTGCTTTGTTTTTCTGGTCTGAAGATACCTTCTCAGTACGGTGGTCATTACACATCTGCACCACCATCAGACAATATTTTATCTCATACACAGACCAACTGATTGCTACCTAGAACATTGCTGAAGATTTTCAAACCTCTCCCAGGCTCATAAGAAAAGAATTCTGTGATTGATTAGCAACATCTGTCATGGATAAGGGATAGGGTAGTAGTGACATGCAGGCCATGTTCGTGCCATCTCTGCAGCCCATTTATCTCATACCGTTGGGAATTCCTATATTCTCTAAGCTTTTTTAGAGTATATTTTATTTTAATATTTTATCAGAAAATGACGCATTAACTTTATTTAAATAAAGAGTGTAAATTTCTCTTGAAAAAGGAGAGGGGTCACAAGAACCTTCACGATGGATTTAAAGACATTTTGTTACACTTATCTATAAATTTTTACACAATTGTGAGGATAAGGCATTGGAGTGAGGGGTGATTTGCTTTCTAAATTAAATCAGAATCATTTGCAAATTTTGTAGACCTAACATTACTCTTAACTCTTAACTCTTCTACTGTTGGATATGTAATAGGCTTTAAGTTCTTAGCTATTATAAACAATGTGATAGGCATCTTAGGTAGAGTCCCCTTAAAAGTAATAATGACCAGGGCAGAGTGGTCAAATAGAATTGAGTTTTTTTTCCTTGATTTAGTTTCTCAGTGTAGACTACAGTGAGCTCTGGAACACCCACCTGCAAAGCCTGTCAAGTCAGCTCCATCAAAGCTGATCCAAAGTTTGCTAAAATTGATTCATGTCAATAAAGACTACATTTAACTATGTTAGCTATATGTCCCTGTAGCTAATAAGGAAAAAATTTTCTACTGCAAGTACAGTTAAGTACAAGTTAAAATGCTTACAATAATATTCAAATTGCAAGTCTCATATCGATGGGGTTAATTTACCTTTTCATTAATTATTAAAGGTTTACAACTGTTAAAATGAATTAAACTGTTAAAATGAATTAAGGCGTGGACCCAGGGCCACACATCAAGAGACTGGACTAATTAAACCATAATGATCCTTGAGTGATGAAATGTAACCTTAATCATACCTATTGCTCACTTTTTTCATTATAATGTTTCCACACACCATGTGTTCTTAGCCTCCTTTCTGCACCGACTCCCTCAGTCTTGGTTGGGTGGTGGCTACATGGGTATATCCATATGTAAAAGTTCATCAAGCTATACATTAAACATTTGTGCATTGTACTAACATAAAAGAACTTTAAAAATCAAGAAAAGCTCTATGATAATGTAAAATAAAAATAATAACTGTAAAAATACTTGTTTACCATCTAGTTATAATAATATACAATACAGCTGCTGCAGATTAAAGCACCTGGCCCACCATCAGATTGTAAGAAACCTGAGGGCAGAGATCATGTCTTGAACTTCATCCATGACTCTGCCTTGTGTGTAGGGAGTGCTCAGCCTGCATAGGGAATACTGCCTGATGGGCACCTTGAATGGAAGGCCCATGCCATCACTCGCTCCTGGAGAAAGGACCCTGCACCAAAGTCACAGGCACCAGAAGATAGCACTTTAAAGTACACATTTGACCTGCAGGACATTAATCACCTTGCTTACAAAATTAACCCTTCTAAGTGTATTTTTTTCAATCCTATAATATCTAATGTCAGTAAGCTAATACTATTTGTAGCTACTAGAAAGTTTATGTCCAGATGTCCAGTTATTTGAAGAGGAGTAGGAAAAAGCTATTGTGACATTTCCAATTCTCCATTTGTGACCACCAGTATTTACAGCTCATCCTTTACTTTCTCCATTCTCCTGGAAACACATGTCTTTCTGCCTCAATGACTTTATTTTCTTCTTTGGGACATTGCATCCACTGCAGCCCATGCCCTGGATCTTCTCTACATCACAGCTCCTTCCTGACAACTCCTCTGAGCCTGGGAACTGACTCCTGCTTTCTATCACCCAATCCAGAGACTTCCATGGGAACGGTAACATGTCCCCCTTCTAAAGTCACTTTCAACAGCCAGGGCTTCAATCTGCAGGTGCTTGCCCATCTGTTTTGACTATGCAGGAGAGTCCCTGCTATGTTTTAATATCCCAGTTTCCAACAATGGTCTTTAGAATCACAGTAAGTAGTTTATTTTCCAAAGGATAAAGGAACAAGAGATTATTTTAGCGGTTAGTGTACAAGATGAATATTAAAACCCTAGTTTTGCTGAGGCTCCAAGAAGTCAGAGGGTGTGGGTGAGACTCTAGGCCTGCCTTAATCTACCATTACAATAATTCTAAAGAATATGGAGAAGATTCCACATCAGCCAACAAAATCCCTCAAGGTTGAATAATTGTATATTGATAATAGGGTATAAATGAGGTTAAGAAATCTGGCTTTAGAGAGACAATGCCCTAATAATCTTCTTGTCTTTCTGTATAATTGTTATTGTTCTTGTTACTGTTAAGTGATGCACTCACAGTTCGTGGGTCAAGTATTCTTTTACTGGAATGAGTGTTCTGATTTGTGAATCAGTCCCTGTACTTAAGTGACTTACCATGATGAATGTATAGGCCTGAATGCTGGGAATCAGACTGCCAGCAGAGAACTACCAAGGGAGAGCAAGAATATGCTTGGGCACTTGCCAAGGCTGTCTTTCAGAAGACATTTGGGCAACAGGCTCTCATTCAGCCTGCCATGTAGGAGTGGACTCAGATGAACCTACTGAGACTCAAGGGCACATGTGCTCTAACAGGTTCTCAACCTTTCCCAGCCTCCACCACTGACAGCGCTCAGTCAACTACAGTAATTCTCAATGGGTGGGAGATGGGTGAGGAAGAGTGAATAGGTCCACACAGCCCCCTCCCCAACAGAATCTAGAAAAGGGGTAACGGTGCAGTTGTTAGTTGAAGCATTCCCTCTGGGGCTGCCAACTCCCACTTCTCATCCATACCTAATAAATGCCACACCCCCCTACACCCCTAAGAACAAAGACTCTAAAAAGAGCGTGGGTGTGAGCTCAGGTAGATGGGGCAGAATGTTGATGGAAGCTGCCTGAAGGAATACATTGGTGATGGAGAGAATTACAACAAAGGGAAGGTAAGAAAGAGAGGAAGCATGCAAAAAAGCAACCCTGAGGTGCCAAGTTAGAGGCCATGGAAAACATTCAAAATCTAACACTTTCCTTAATGAGATTTGTTACTAGATTCTTCAATCTAACCAAACAGGATTTATAGACTGGCTTTAATAATGTCGACAACCATCTCTACCCAAGCTTGGGACATCTCTGATTCTGCAGATCTACTATTCCAAAGGCTTGGCTGAATTGAGTCCTTGTGCTTATTTTAAAAAAGTTCAATAATAGTAGTACAATTTTAGCCCTGAAGTCTACTAAAGTGGATTCATGTCAATGAAGACTGAAAATATTCATGTCAATGAAGACTGAAAATACTATTTGGCTTTGTTTGCTATATGTTGTTATAGCTAAAAAGGAAAACAATTTCTACTGCAACCATTGTTAACTGCACAATAAAATGCTAAAAAGAATATCCAAATTGCTAGGGTTAATTTACCTTTTCATTAATAATTGAAGGTATATTATTAAAACATGGATTAAAAACTTGCTGAATGTTACTAGACACCAAGAGACTGCGTTGATTAAAACATAATCCTTAATAATCAGGAGTCATGAGATGTAACCTAGATCATACCTAGGCCTCAAGTCTACACACCCTGAGTTCACAGCCACCTTTCTATACCCACTTCCTCAGTTTTTATGCCACTTCTTGATTTTGCCTCTTTCACCATGGATTTTGCCTGGGAATTCTGCGTGAGTACTCTCTGCTCTTCTACCTGAAGCAGGAAATTACTGCTGAGGGAACTTCCTAGGAAAGCTAAGCTTTTTCCAGCAATGCATTGGAGGGAGTGGGAGGTAGTAAAGGCTGCCTAGAAAAGATCCAGGACCTTGGGCCAGCCACACAGACTTGTGGAGAGAGAACCCACAGCCTCCTCGCAACTCATATTTTCATTCTAGTTCACAGAGCAATTTCACACACTAGCTGGCAATTCCTAAGCCTGCCATAAAACCAACCAGGGATTCACCTCATCCATCACTGGACCGCAGCTGCCTTTTGTGGGCCACGGCAGGGATGGAAGGGTGTTCCTTAGCCAGGGCTAAATCAACCAGTGAAGAGAGATCCTCTGCAAACTCAAATTCTGGGAAACAAAATGCATGAGAAGCTGACCTGGAGTTCAAGATGGGATCCAAAGGTGGAAGGAGCTGAGTTCAGATCCTTCTTCAGAACTAGCTGTGTGACCTTGGGCAAGTTACTTAATCTCTCTAAACCTGTTTCTTCCTCTGTAAAATGGGGTAACAAAATGGACCTTATGAGGTTGGAGAAACTTTAAAAAAATGATGCATGTAGCCCAATGTCTGCTATACAAGCAGTTGTGAGGTCCTTATGCAGGGTAATGGTTAAGCACCTGGGGTGTGATGCTAGATTGTCTGGGTTTAAATCTTGCCCCCACCGTCTAACAGCTTAGGGCACTGGATAACTTATGGAACCTCTATGACTCAGTTTCCTCATCATTAAAATGGAGTTTTATCACAACACAAAGTAGATATCCAATAAATATTAACTATTTTTTATTTCATTGTAAAAACAGCCCGTGTTTCCAGCTCAATCAACACTGTAATCGTGAAGACCTTGCACTTTTATAATTTTTCTGGGCAGAGTCAAGCTGCGGTGCTAAGGGTGGGGCTAAACTGTAATATGAAGAAAAAAATTCAAAGAGGGAGAATAACCACCCACCAGGGAGCTATTTCTTTTGTAATGTACATTCCATTTCTTCTCCCTCATGCTTTTTAATTCCTTCCACATTTCCTGTCATAATTATCAAATGTTTGGTTTCTGACCTCACTTTTCTGGAGACTAGAGCCCAGGGAATTTAGAATTGTTTATTTTCTGTCCATAAACCTTTGAGTTAATGGAGGGGCTTGTGAGCGAAGGGTTTGTTGGTTTGTTTGTAGTGTCTCAGGAAGGTCACTGGAGTTGAAAAAAAAAAAAAAATTACCAAAAAAGCGCTGAAATACTTTGACTGGAAACGCCAAGCCCGCAGGGAGCAGAGCAATGGATGGCTCACACTTGAGCAACGCTAGCTTAAGAGGAAAATTAGAGATTTTAAAAGGCAGTTATATGGCCTTGATAACACAAAATCCGGGGGGGCACTTCAGAAAGACAGAAAAAAAAAAATCAGGGGTTTTGTGGTGGGTTTTTCTGTTGTTATTTATTTTTTTTCCCGAAGAGACAGACTCGGAAGGTAAAAGTCCCCAACTCTTCTCAATTTCCTCTGAAGTGAAGGAAAGAACTCAAGGCGCCTTTTCGAACCCTGCTCCTGCTCTTGTCGCCGCCTCCGTCCCAAACGGCCCAGCTCGTCCTCTCGCCCCCTCCCCACTCTCCCTCCATATTACCCGCGGTGGGGCTCCCGCTTACGGCCCAAACTTCTTTTCCTGATTTTGAGGCTGAAGTTTTGTAAGTAGCTAGCATACGCCCAGCCCCAGCAGCGGAGAGCATCCCCCCGGACGCAGCAGCGCCCGCCCCCCGCGCAGACCCCGGAGCCCGGGTTCGGACCTCCTCGCCGCGCACCTACCTCGGCGTGGACCCAGGCGACCGCCGCCAGCGCGAGCGCGAGCCAGCGTGTCCACATCTGCGGAAGAGGCAAGAGCGACACTGAAGGCACCGGGCCCCGCGCCGACCCCGGAAACTTCCTCGGGTCCCGCGAGCTCGCCCCCTCCGCCCAGCCACCCTCGGCCGCCCCGCGGGGCCCGGCCAGCGCGCTCGGCTTAGCGCCGCGCCCCGGACCCTCACCATGGTCCCGTCCCGATCTCCGGAGGGCGCGGGGCAGGGCGGCTGCAGCGAGCTCGAAGGCTGGAGCTTTGCTGATCGCCAGCCTCGAAGGAAATCCGACCTGGCCTCGCCGCCCCTTAAGACCCCTCCTTCCCCGACTGCCTGCCCCCCAGCTCCTCCCATTCTCCTCCCTCTTCTGCAGCTGCGGCCCCCGCGGCTCCCGGCTCCGCTCCCTCCGCCCAGTCCCTGGCTCCCGGGAGCCCGCGTGCGTCCTGGCGCCGCCCAAACCGCGCTCCCTGTCCGGCCTCCAGGACATGGAGGCGGAGGCAAAGAAGGGGTGTCCTGGGGGACACTGCAACAAAGGTTGAGGGTGTGTGTGTGTGTTGGGGGGGGGCGTTACCTCACCCCTAGGA